GAGAGAGAGAGAGAGAGAGAGAGAGAGAGAGAGAGAGAGAGAGAAAACGATGTCTTCAATTTTGTTGGATAAGACTTAGACAAAAGACAGGAAACGTGACCAACCCCACTGTCACTACAAGAGAAGATATTTGGGCCGACAGATGAACTGAGCAGGACGGCCCAATTTATGACAGATACCAGACTTCAAGTGTGATGCGACCGAGAAGAAGAAGAAGATAGACAAGAGCATAGTATGGTAGCAAAGACAGACTAATCATGCCTCCAACAGGATTTCGAGCTCAATAAATTCCTGTCAGGAAAATCGTGCATCTAACTCAACCAGGACATGCAATACAAACAAATGAGTACACACATTCACTAACACACATACAAACATACACAAACAGATACCAGAGACATGGAAAGACAGACATATTAGATAGTTTCAAAAACATCATTAAAAGGAAAAAGAAACAGAAGGAAAGTTCTGCTCACCGGTTTACAGGAATATGACTCACAACCGTTGACGTCCACCCTGTAAAATAAAGGACAGTTGCTTGAACATAACACACTGGCGATGTTGTCTGGGGGAGGAGGAGGGCGATAAGGGTGTACACTTCAACTGTTTTGTATTTTTGTGAATTCAAAGATCATATGTAAAAATGTGTTCACGTGTGTATATGCAGACTTCAACATAAGTTAGGACCACCTTGACAGACAGCCCTGATTTTTTTTATCCGAAAAAAAGACAGCAAGAAATGTTTTGACATTTTTTGCTCTGAAAGTGTTAATGGATTACCAATGCGTACTGCAAAGCTTCTTAAACGGGCAAAACCACCAACTGCAACACGAAAAACTTCGGAGAATTTTAGCCACATTGGCTTTTTTTTTCGACTGGTGTGCGACACCACTGACATTCCTCAGTTAAAATTTCTGGTGCACGTCATAATGGACGCACGATCTCGAACTGTGCTCACTTTGGTGGCAATATAAGCCGTCGTTTGCACAAAATCAAGTATCGCATCAACATGGCACCAAAACAAAAGCTGAGAGACTTTGATCGTGCCAGAGCTATGGCATGGCTGCAGGATGGAGTTGGAGCCCGAGAAGTTGCCGAAAGACTTGCAGTGTCACACTGCCAGGAAAATAATGCATCTGAGGTAGTGCCATCAAGCCACTGGATCAGTCCAAGAACGCCCATGTGCAGGTCGACCAAAGAAGACCTCTCAGAGTGTTTGCAAGTGGTCCTTAACTTATGTTGAAGTCTGTGAGTGCATCAACAGTGGTGGAGTGGGCATGTATTGAATATCGAATAACAAGAGAATATTATTGTTTCTGCATTGACCAGCGTCTTCTGGTGATATTTTCAAACAGATTAGAAAACAAAGTTGTCACAAACAATGTGCAATATATGGACTTAACTTTGCATGTGCTCATTAGCATGATTCATTGGGTATGTAATGTATGTCCATTCTATCAAAATTGATGCTCCTCAATACACGCGCGAAGACTATTTTACGTTTCTTTGATTTTGCACAAGTTTGCCAAGCCTGATTTTTTAGGTTATTTTTAAGTGACCATATCGCGGGTAGCTCTGAACATAAATGAAATATTAATGTGTCAGATGATGCAAAATTATTTAGCTTTAAATTGGTGTGCTTCATGGGTGGGGACTGCAAAGCTTTAACATAATGATTGGCTGATTGCATTTTCAAGTTTCTTTTGGACTCCACTCAGTAGAATGACCAAACACAAAATGAGAATAGACATCTGCTTTCCTCTTGAAAAAAAATTAAAAAAAAAT